CCGAGGCAGGAGGGCGGGGCCGCCCTTTTGCACCTGGAGTAGCCCCTGGCACGCCCGCCCTGGGCTGGCAGAGGCAGCGAGGGGCATGTCTGAGGGCCGCAATACTGACTGCCCTCCCTAGTGCTCCGGTCAGTGGTAGCCATACCCTCGGGGGAGAGAAGTGAACTGACACTAGGAAGGACTTCCCAGTGGGGTTCATCGTGGAGCTAAGAGCTCTCCTAAAGAGAGAAGCGGGCCCCTCAGCTCAGGTTTTTGGACACGAAAGGGAGGTGCCAGGGGCAAAAATATCTAAGCCTGCCTCTGGCCACTCAGTAAGAAACATACCATGCTCGCCTCTCTTCACAATGACCCCAGGCTGGAAACCACCCCGAATCACCTCAGCTCCGGGGAATGCTTGGAATCCTGAGGAGGCTGAGGAAGGAACCTGCAGGGGCCCTGGAGACTCATCCCCAGGAGCTGGGTGTGGTGTGGGGGTGGCTTTGCACCCTGCGGCCTCTCCTCGGTTCTGTGTGGGCACCTAGCCAAGCACCACCACTTTGTCAAACACAGGGGCATCCTACTTGGCACCTGTCCCCTCCCGGGGCCCGGCGAGAACCCTGTCAAGAGCCCTGCCAGCTGGCGCCCCCTGCAGAGCCCCTCTTCCTGCCTCAGGCCTAACCCTTCCTTTGCCCAGGCTGGCCTGGGCACCGAACAATGAGGCCTCTGTCCTGCCGGGCCTGCCTACTGTCACCTTTTACCCCATTGCACAACACTCCCTCTTCCGTCAGGTTGGGTCCCAGCCAGAGGACTCCACAGGCGGGGAGGGAGAAAGAGACCACACCTGGGCAGGTCTGGGTCTCCAGCCTGAGCAGCACATGCCACTTGGGGAACACCGGGGTTCCCTTTGCCCCTCACTGACCTCTCTGCACACTCTCCCACCCTGGCATCTGCAGCTGGCCAGCCCCTGGCAGAGGGGAGAGACTGCGACAAAGGGCACTTGTGTCTGGGTTACTTACCCCCTGCGAGGGGGCATCGAGGCTGAGTCACCAAGGGTGTCCTTTCCTGGTGGCAGGAGTAGAGGGGTAATGCTCTGGGGCCTCAGCACTGGCATTCATATGCCCAGGGGCTGCCCATCTGCTGTTGCAGGGACTTGAGAGGACAAAGCCTAAAAGAGAAACTGAGGCTTAAAAGAATAAACTTGTCCAAGGTGGGCCAGCCAGAACATAGACTTGCTACCTGCTGACCCGCTCCTTTCACCAAGATCACCCTTAGCCACCCATCTGGGTCTCAGCGCCCTCCGAGTTGGGCAGTCCAGTCTCTTTTCCTATCTGACCTCCATTCATCTTACTGCAAGGTGAGTCCCTCAGAGTTAATCAATGTTGTATTCTCTTGTTAGGGACAGAGGCGGCCTTTGGGACTCCTGCTCAGGTGCCAACTGTCAGGGATCACTCAGGGTTCTGGAGCAGGGTCTGTCCATGTGAGTCTGGGGTGGGGCATGTGTCCAAGTAACTGGAGGGCAGTGCTTTTGCTCCAGTGCGTGTCAACCTGTGTCTCTCCTGTCTGCTACATGAGTATGGGTGTGTGTGGCTGGACCTTTTGTCTGCGGTGCCAGCCTGTGTCTGCTTGTCTACCGTCCATCTGCCTGCCTGCCTCGTGCCCATGTGGCCGTAGCAATGTCGTCTCCGTGTCAGTCCCTCCTGCGTGTGTGGCCTGTGTGTCTGTGTGTGGCTGTAGACTGCTCTGTCTGTGCTCCTGTCTCCCAGTGTCTGTGTATCTGTGCTGTGTGTGCCTGTGTCTGTTGGGGGTTTGCCTGTCTGACTCTCTGTAGAGAGCACATGTCAACGTATAGGATGCAGAGAACATAATGCCTCAGTGTGTTCCCAAGAGTGCAGAGTGAAACCCATCAAGAGTGACAATGTGGGAAACCCGACACGTAATCCCCCCGAGAGTAAGAATGATATCTAACCCAACAGATCACCCTACGACGCGTGTAACCCTGGTATCTAAATTCAATATGTGAAACCCTATGATGTGTGCAGCCCCAGTATCTACTCAAACAGCCCCAACATGCGTGAAGTGATAAAACCCGAACCAGTGCCACAGACCCCCAGTTAGAATGATATAAAAGAGAGAGCGCAGAAGACCAGCTCGTCCCACTCGGTGACCGGTCCAGCTCGATGGCGACCTGCCAGACGAGATCTTGGTACGGAGGAGACCTCGGTCGAGACATCAGACGCCTGCCGGGAGTGGACCCCGGGACCGAGGAGTAGGAAACCAGATTGAATACCGCAATCACCAGGAAAGGAGAAACAAAGTCGCACTCCTCGGACTTGTGCAGGTACAGGGAGTGGCAACTGGCGGGTATGAATGAACATGTTTGATGTGTGACATATATAATAGATAATATATAATATATTTTTAAAATCTAGTAGGCAACTACTACTGTCTCTACCTCCAGTCAGCACACTCCTGCTCATGACACTCTCCTTGTCTGTCTGTCTGCACGGGAGGCAAGGACACAGCAAAGGGGAGACAGCAGAGCCAGGAGCTTGGCACCAAGCCCACCATAGCGGAATCTCATGACTCACTGGCTTCCTTGGCCAAGAAACAGAGGAAAAGGGCAGGGCCCGGGGATGCTGGACACCCCACTTTCCTTTTCTATGGATCCCTCCCTCCCGGTGACTCATTCTGTCTCTCTTCTTGTCCATAAGGGGGCCTTGTCCAAGGGACACCAGTTAGACTTCCCCAGAAGTCCTTAAGCCTCCTTGACAGGCAGGTGGCCTGAAGTCCCATGGTGATGGTGTCCTTCCTGTGGGACCCTCGGCAGCATTGCCTGTCTCTGGGCCTTGGTTTCCCATCTGTACCCAGAGGCTCCCTAGAAGACTTCTGGGACGTTATCTTCTTTCTGTGGTGAAGGTGAAGGCAGCCACCCACCTCAGGACTTCACAGAGCAGGTGCCTCTCTTCCTAGAGACTCAAGGCTGCTGCTGCCCCCAAATCCTCTAGCTGCTCTGGGTGCCCAGAGTAGCCTTCTCCAGAAGCTGAGCAGAGTAGCTGTGCTCTCTGAGCCCCTGGCCGAGGACCCAGTACTGGGCTGGAGGTTCAGGTGCCTGGGTCCCAAACAGCACTCCAGCCAAGGCTGGGGCTTCTGAATGGCTTCCTGTGGTCAGCTGGATGCACCCAGAGCTCGGAGCAGACTCCTGGGACTGAGTCTGAGACCCTGCTGATGTTACAGCCCGTGGGGGCACCTTGTGATGTGCTGGGCTCCCCTGAGCCCTCAGATTGTTTGGTATAAAACACCCACGAGGCTGACTGATAGACAGAATTCTGTGCTGCCAGAGCAGGCCGGAGCATGTGGGAGATAAGATCCCAGGCCAGGTGAAGTATGTTGTTTTGTGCCACGCTGTAGGCTTTGACTTTTTTTTTTTATTCATTCAACAACTATTTGTTGGACATGAGCTGCATGCCACGCTGTGTTGGGTGCAGAATGCTCAGGGTTGAATCAAATAGACCCAGGTACCATGGTTGTGAAGTTTGCCCTTTCACAAAAGGGAGAAGATGGCCACATAAATGAACAAAAATTAGAGCAAGAGGTCATTCTAACACATGAACTGCTATGGAGACAGGCACAGAGCATAAGAACCTGGAGTCCTGAGTGGCCACAGGGGCTGAACTCCAGGAGGGAGGGAGCAGAGGAGCAGGAGGTGCTGGGAGGAGGGAGCCCTGGGCAGGAAGGAGCTGGTATCATCTCTGTCACTGAGGAGATTCAGATGTGAGAGTGAAATAATCCGATTTACATGGGTAAAAGTTCTTTCTGGCTGAGCTACAAAGAACAGATAACCACAGGGTAAAAGTGGATTTAGAGAGGCAGGACAGGAGGTCATGGTGTCATTCGCTGTGGCTGGCAGTGGTGGCAGGCAGAAGTGGAGCTGTTCAGGGCATATTGTGGAGGTGGAATAGAGAAGACTTGCTGCAGGCGGGGATGTGGTGGGTGAGAGAGGAGAAGTCATGGAAGGCTTCTGGGTTTCTAACCCAGCAGGTAAAGAGGGCTGCAAACCTCTGCTCCAGCAGGGCACAGTGGCACACACCTGTAATTCTACCTGTTCTGGAGGCTGAGACAGGAGCATCACTTGTTCTCAGGGATTCGGGGCCAGCCTGGGCCACATAGCCGGATCCTGTTTCTACATAAGTTTGGCAGAGAGGATGGAGTGGTGAAGTAAACAGAGCAGGAGTGGTAGGGAGGTAAGGAGAAAACCAGGTGAGCTCAGGCTTCAGAAGCCAACTGAAAGCCAAGCTCGCTGCCACATGCCTGTAATCCCAGCACTCTGGGAGGCTGAGGCAGAAGGACTAAAAGTTCAAGCCTGGCCTTGGCAATGTCGTGGCTTAGTGAGGCCCTATCTAAGGACTAGAGCAAAACTCAGTGTGAAGGCCCTGGGTTCAATCCCCGGTACCACTCACCTAAAACAAAAAGGAAGAAGAAGCCAAATGAACAAAATGTTTCCAGGAAGAGGGAGAGGGCTGGGGTACAGCTCAGTGGTAGAGTGTGCACCTAGGAGAGACCCTGGGTTTATTCCCAGTACCAAGAAAAAAGAAACAAGAGATGACCCTCAGGTACCCCACCAAGGTCCTTGTGTCGAGAGGGGAGGGGGTCCACAGAAGGACAGGGCTGGCCTCAGATAGCAGCAGGGTGATCACGGAGAGAGGAAGCCAAAGTGAGGCTGGAAAAGAGGAAGGGATGCAGGACCAAGGCTTGGGCAAGAACCTGTTATCATTCCTGAGCGCTGTAGAGAAACCAGCCGTGCTGACCTTGAATTCGTAACGAGCCCGATAGCTAGTGCACACGGCAGGTGCCAAACACAG